GCAGGCCACTACAAACCTGCCTGGGGTCGCTTTACTGGTGCTGAAGCTGCCTATAAGGAAGTAATGATAGCAGATCATGGTAGCAGACAACTGCTCAGAGTGTACTCTCAAGTTTATTTTTTGCTTGCGTGAGGCCGAGCCACTGCAGAACACTAGAGGAGGGTAGAGGGAGACGTTGTGTCCATTCGTCCAACCACCAGTTTTTAAAAGGTTTTTCAGCGCATTTGCTTTTAATTTAGCTAGTTGTAACGAGACGTCGAAGGCACTTCTGCCGCGTCAAGTACAAAGCATTCGCACCAGGACCTTTTGATTTAGTGTGGACGAACTGCAGTAGTATTAAATCAACTAGCTGAGAAATACCGACCAGCTTGCGAATGCAACTGCACAGCCGTAACGTGGATATAACCTTCCGCACATCGTGAATGAGTCGCCTCTCACTATTTATTTAACCCTGCAAGCTTCATGGGTTCTCCCTGGAAGTACCAGGGTCAAAGTTTTGAGCAAGGTAGACATTTTCGGCATTTCGTATTCCTAGTTCTTATATGTAGTAGTACCCAGTACTTCGGAGCTATTTTCTCGAAAACTTGATTGGAAAAGAGGATGGTAAAAACGAGGGCGTTTAAAGACAGAAACCAATATAAAACAAGAAAATGAAAGTTTGTCTACAGGTTGTCGCCCATCAGCGTAAGAAAAGCCTGTCGAAAGTCGGAACCTTCATTTTTAAAGTAACCACAAACTACAAAGTGTTTGATGAAGTCTGATACTGGCTGTGTTCCTTGAAATAACCGAAAGCACAGAACGACAAAAGTGGCAGGGCAACAAAGAAGGACGCTTTGCTGACGAGTGAGTTCGCAATCATCTCTCTGGGAAATCACCAGGTGGTCTGAAGTCATCCCGCGACGATAAGTCGTATTGTAGCACATCTGTGCAGTTCCCACGCTGATTACGTGATCACGCAGGAGCCCGTGTAGAATTTCAACGATCAAGCCTTCGATGCATATGTGATCGCAATAATTCTTTGCCTTCAGAAATTATTATTAAAAAATTGAGGCTCATATGTCGCGTAGGTCTTGGTCCCCAAGGGATAAAATTCACGTCCTTGACCTTACGTGACACCTTGGATGCCGCTTGAGACGTCACTGATAATGATACAGTACAGGTTTTCCAGTGACTGACCCTTTTCTGAACGAATATCCTCTAAATTCTTGCCAGGTAAACATGGCCCAAAGCTAATCATGGAAATTAAAAAAATTCAAAAAAGAAGCCTAGAACGAGGGAAAGTAGGCACGAGGCATAATTCAAAGAATGAAGTTGAATAAAGAGTAACGCAAATAATTGAACTTATAGTTTTTGTACAATTTTTCACTGTATCGTACAACATCTCGATAGTTTTTTGTCTTTTTTTTGCGGTTACTATAATCAAGTACTGACGCTTATGAGTGCTCAACCAGACCGTAGTCAACAATACTGACGCCACCACATTTTTCACATAGTTCCTCTATCTTTCCATAAAAACCGAAGTGACCTCTCAATTTTTGTACTGACGCGACTTGCTGAAAAGTCTTGATCGACCAGTAAGCTGCTCAGTTATCACGCTTTGGACGTGTTCTGCAAAATTTTTTCCAAGAACTTCGAGGCATAGACTGATATTATTTGCGATCACGGGTTGTTTTTGTTAACTGCATGGAAGGGATCTTCTATTTAATCGTGTCGCTTGCTTGCGGTAGGCTAAGAGCCGCAAAAGCGAAGAATACCCCTCTTGTTGTGTTACAATTGGACCGACTGAAGGTGAGTGCTGCAACCAGGTACTCTATGCTAGAGTATACGCTGGAGCAAGTGGCACGTCCTGTCCACCGGGATAAATTTCCGAACAGTAAGGCCCTCCCCCACAATTTCGTCTCTGATTACGACCCACCCCCGTCGTTACTTGCTATTGCCCCTGTTGCAGCTTTCCAAGCTTTTAACGCATATTTAACCAGGAATCCAAAAACTCTTCTGTTTTTCCCAGATTTTTTGCCGTCGAATGGAGAGCGAGAGGGAAGGTCAGGCCCAGAACCGCGGATAAACCCGCGAAACGCAGCATAACGCCAGAAATAACGTCGCAGAATTTCCGCTCAGAGCGGGATTTCGACCCTCCCCCTCTACAACACGACAAATAGCGATCGTCCTCCCTCCTCTCATCCACACCCAGAATTCTTTGCAAGATGTGAATAGCGCTCGAAACAGGGAAAAAATCATTATATGAACGGAGTTATAAGTTTTCCTCGAACCAACGATTCCCCTAAATCCATTGACCAGAACGCGATCCCGCCCATCCTACCTGGGATTCACCGGTGTAGGACATGCCCCTCGCTTGCTGGAGTATTTCGTCTTAGTGGGGCATCTTCTTCTTAAGTCTATGACATGAAGACACTGTATAATACCGCTGTAAAACGGTCTATGCAGTGGCACTCGGAGCGAGCACGTGTGAAGGCAAAAGGTCGGTGCAAAAACCAATACAGTCTTATTATAAATAGTCTCAAGATTTCCTAAGATCCCGTAAGCTTTATTATTGCGTGCTTGTTAGGCATTCATTGTCTCACCCAAGCGGCTCCCGAAGCTTGTTCCATTTCGTGGCTCTACAAGTGTCACATGGTGAGGAAACTGAGGAAACTACGGAAAAACGAAAAAGCTCACCGTCTTTGGCGAACCGTTCGCAATCCTGCCGTCCTGAAGTCAAATTGATTGGGTGGAAAGATCTGAAGTATGGAAGCAACTTACCCAACGTTCCAAGACATAAAGGTCGTGAAAATTTCAGAAATGTCCAAAAAACTCAACACAAAAATTGATTTGGAAGACTACATAAAATTGGATAAGATCGGTGAAGGTAAATTTTCAGGGAAATAGAGCCAATTGACGCAGAAATACTAAAGGGGTATGATGAATCATCACGGATTTCTCTCAGGAACACTACGTGTCGTGTACAAAGCTCAGAATACTGAGGAGAACAACCAACTGGTGGCAATTAAGAAAATTCGACTCGAATTTGAAGACGAGGTCAGTTCATGGAAACCCTTATACAGTTTGTGTTGCCGCAATCAGCAGATGCGGGGTCAGTAGGGGTGGAGCGGTTCCTTAGCTGCCTATTATACCGCTACGGCAGGAACAGAAGAACTAAAGGTAGAAGACCCACTGCATGGGCTCATTCTATGCCTTTTAACATTGCCCGACTGATTGCAACGATATCAACTGTGAGCAGACTAAAAGGCACATTCCGCAGTTGCAAATTGTGGAAACTGAGTAAAGCATCGTGATGTGTAAAACGATAGTGCCAGTACGACCCCACCCCCTCACCCATTTTGCGGTCTGGTACGGCTCCTTCCCCATCCACCTACCATCTCGCCAACCTGCTCCAGAAGTTCTCCACTGAGCGGGATAGGGAGGGGGACGTCACCATCCAACTAAAGGTTTCAACTATCAGACAAAGTAACTGTGTGGCAGCTTATGGAAACGGCAACTACTATATAACAACTATCTAGCGAAGGAAGGGGCAGAGAGGGGCTACATAACAACTGTCTAGCGAAGAGAGGGATAGGGAGGGGAAAAAACCCAACGAAAGTCGTATTTGGTATCTTGGGGATGGGGATGGTACTTTTCCTTAAAGAAACTGTTTCGGAATGTGAGTGAGGAAGACTAATGCGACTCCTCTGATGGGACTCTGCCAATGATGCTTTGAGTGTGCACTGAGGTCCATTATGAGTTTGCAGATGGTTCACCAAAAAGGGACAGTGTAGGTAAGACAATCCGAAACGCTCTGAATAACGGCCTCACTTTGGGGATGACGAATAGACGAGCATCCGAATGAAGCGAGACACTGCAAGAGAAGGTGAGAGACGAGAGATAAAGGATGAGAGAACAGCTAGGTGGGCGAGACGACAGACATGAACACAAGTCGTGAACACAGCGTCGTTTCGGGGTGTATGAGCTACAGACGGGTTTTTCACTAAATCGAATAAAAACCTCAGCACTTTGATCACCCAACTTTGCGTCAAGGGTGTGCTACTACCACTGGAACTACTAGCAGGGCTGCCCTTGCTCGAGGGAGCAGCTCCAATTATTGGATAATCGCGTGAGGCAACTTCAATATAATGCACTCTGCTTTATAATCTGCGGTGATATCCACTGATAATGGACCTTATAGGGCGTACCAGCTACAGCAATCCGCGAAATTTCTATGCTTCAAGAGCTGGCCAATCCGAATATTGTCGAATTCATTGGGATTTCAATCCAGGTAGTTTCAAGACCGATCTAATATCTCATATTTGAAGAAGACAATACAGGATTGAATCTTACGCTGTGGGAGTGAAGCTCAAACGATCAGAGGCATGGCATCGCGCGCACACCAGGCTTCATAGCTACAGTTACTATTCCTGCAAACGAGATGGGTGTAGGATGGAGCGTGGCCAGGAATACCATTCCCACCAATTGTAGCAAACCTAAGAAGGCACTAGTTGGTAGAAAAGGCCGATCTGGCTGCGCTCTAGTCCACGCTTCCGTGTCGCCCTCTCATTTGCAAGGGCAATGACTGTAGTTCATTAGCTACATATAGCTTTCTAACGACAAATCAAGTGTACAAAAGCATAGCAGCCAGGGTCCTGATCCGCCTATTGAAAGGCTTTATCGTCGTCAACAAACGATATCAGGCGTAAGCTGCCACTTCGTGACGGATTTGACGCCAAAGTGCTGTTTCCAGTCAACTAGATAATGTCATTTTTCGCTACGGATGCCGGGGCGTGACACGAGGAGGAAGTAGGATTGGGTTTGGCGCAATGCCAACACGCTTTCCACCAATCGTTGTTTCCGCTCTCACCAACAACTGGGGGAGAACGGGCTGATTACGCGCCAAACCCAGTCTCTTTGGTCCGCCCCGCGTCCGAAGCGAACAAGACAATGGAAGTGCTTGCTAGTTTGCGTGCGAAGCCGCGGTTCGGACTTTCCGATCTATACTCTTATGCAGCCTACCGTAACCCTACTGCAATAGTCACCACTTCGTTGAATGCGAATGCGCTGCTCACGGCAGTTTTGCGCGTATAAAAACCCTCATGGTTAGTAGTGCAAGTTCACATGGTCCCAGCAAAAACAGATTCCCACATCAGCAGTTCCTTGGCCGTGGTCTAACCTTATACGCTTGGTTTTACAGATGAGTCCCCAAGACAGGTTGTAGTCACAGTCCTGGGGCTGTGGCTTTCCGGAGAGGGGGAGTTTTGCGCAGTCCCAGGTATTCTCCACCAGTAGTGGTTGACCACCAGCTTCCACAATGAGTGGAGAACAGGCTGACGCTGAGAAAAGTTCGGACCCCTCCCCCTAGAACGCCTCAGTGTCAGCAGAGAATAAGACTGTAAAACTACCTTACTCTCAATCTTATTGGCACAATTCAGGAGAGTCGTCTCTATCTTTTCTTCGAATTTATCATGATGGACCTGCGGAAGTATTTGGATCAATTGCCAGAGGATCAGTATCTACCAAAGAAAACTGTGCAACGCTTTGCTTTCCAGGTGCTACTGAAGGCTCATATTATTACTCTTCTACAAAGTCGACCCGTGTTTCTAAATGTCTCCCTCTACGATTGCATCGCTCTACTCGTGAAGTATGAACGTACTTCGTCACGTTCATGGTCACGAGTCGGGCGATTCGAGCGAAATTCGGATTTGAGGTCTGCAACAGAGCGGTTCCACTAAGTCGTTGGACAATTGCGACCAATCCTAGTTCAGCCACAGTCGAGTTCTTTTGACTGCAGTCCAACGACCAGCGGTGCAACGCGAACTGTCGCATTTGCGGTCGAAATCGCTGATGTGGCGAAGTATGAACACGATTCCGTCCAAAGCACGCGCTTTCGCTAGAAACCAGGTTAACCCTTGCAAGCCTTTGAAACGCTCACTTTTTTAGATTTGTCAAGCGTTGTGCTTCATGCACCAACGTCGAGTGCTCCACCGCGATTTGAAACCTCAAAACCTGCTCGTGGACGAAAAAGGCGTCATAAAAGTGGCAGACTTTGGCCTGTCACGTTCGATAAATATTCCTGTACGGATCTATACTCATGAGGTAAGACTAGTACACTTGTACATATTACTAGTCCGAAACTTGTTGAGGGACAGGGCATGAACCTAAGGAGTACGAGCCTAGCGTTACTCACTGATGTAGAACCTTTCGTGACCAAATCTCAGTTTCTGTATATGACTTTGCGACTTGTTTGACCTGCTTACACACTCAGCACATCCGCCAAGGATAAAAAGAGTAGCGACTATCGATTATACGCGGGTAGAATCAATACTAATTTTCAATATGGGCGCCATTCAACAAATGGTGGTGCCTTTTGGAAAGAGCGGTTTCTTTTCCTTATTAGTTCAAGCTTAGTAATCGTGCAGTGCTGTATTTTGGGTTACACAGGTGACTTTGAGTCACCCCCCTCCAAAACTTGGAGAGAAAAAATGTATAAAGGATTATACCAGTTGAGATATGAAATCATATGAAAATTGTATTATTGAAGGGATGCTGAATGCATGCATCACGCTTATACTGCGGCTGGGTATGTGACAAGAGAACCGTAATTCGCCGCGCTAATGGGCGTCACGTGCGACGTCGCGCCGCAAATGACGATGGTTCCAGGTAGTAGATGGCGACAACAGGCAATTCAGAACCGAAAATAGTCATGAAGTTCACGATGACGGGTCCACATAAAGTCCGGTGCTCCTTCCGACAGGTTAGAGTTAAGAAGTCACGCGCGGCAGAGCGGCAAATTACGACTCTCTTTCCCGTCTCCATTGCGGCTCTCAATGAATTTCAGGGAGCATTTGAGCATTTCGAAAGGAACAGACAGTATTTAGGTAGTAACTTTGTGGTATCGAGCACCAGAGATCCTGCTCGGAGCTCATCGTTATGCCGCCGCCATTGATGTTTGGGCAATCGGATGCATTCTAGCGGAGATCGTGACCAAGACATCGCTTTTCAAAAGTGATTCAGAAATCGATCAACTATTCCAAACATTCAGGTAATAGGTAAGTAATGATCGCTGGCACTCCAGAAAGACAGTGACATTTCAGGTTGCTTGGTACCCCGACTGAGAAACAATGGCATGGTGTGATGAAAATGCCTGAATTCAAGGCTCGGTTTCCTAAATGGAAAAAGAATCTGTTGGACGAGAAACTACGACCCTATTGCGACAGTCGTATGATTAACCTGATCCAGGTGAGATGTCAGATTACGGAAAGGTGCAGGTCGCAAAAGCCTGGGGGAGGGGAGCTTAGAGATCCCTTGTGCAAAACTGAGCTCTGGATTTCACGAACCAGTTATAATGCACATCTGGGGGGCGGGGCTGCACGCTTTACTTGGCGGAGGATCCTTTTCGTGGAATATTTCCATTAAATGACGTTTTGTCCTTTTTTCTACTGAACGAGTCATGGTTGTGACCGCTCTGAAACTGCACTATCCCTCAGGAGCCCAGAGGCCGCCGTTTTTGAATTAAGTACGCAGTCACGGACTCCACAGCTCTGGGATATGGAGTGTACTTACTGGAGGTTCGTACTCGATGAACTCAGTTTTGCACAACGAGCGCTTTGCAAGTAAAGTCCACGATTGCCGCTAGTGGGTGATGGGGTTCACTTACAAATGTCAAAGTGCTAGGCAGTTCAACAGTTCCGTCGATCCGTCCAATCTTCTCCAGCGTGGGAATGTGCCAAGGGATCTCTTGTGGACACACAAACAATTTCAAATGAGTAAGTACTATATGAAAAGGTTTGTGTGCCCAGGGCATTTCTTACACCCTACAATTTTATAGCAACTATGAAACTGCAAAGTCTTCCCCACCTTCCACAATTTTCACCCCGTTTTTGTAGTGAAATTGGGATAATTTACAAAAGCCTAAAAAGGATATGGTGAAGGCGTCTATAAACCCTTTCCAAAGCACGCGTTCTTCCTCCATACAGAATCGTGTGGCATTTCGAATGGAATTTCGCAAGTACAAAGAACTGAGGGAACCAGATGATGCAGAAGTCAGTGTGGGACCTTTTGTTGGCCAGGGGAAGATCAGGGAGAAGGGCCATCCAAATTTTATCCCTCTACTGCAAGGGGCGGAGGTGATTTAGTGGCAATCAAGCCGTTTTCGAGTCCGCGGTCAGACACCGGACCGGCTCACGCCTGACTCAGCACCCTAAGGGCACGAGTAAATTGATACCAGATCGCTCTGGGAGGATGAAAACACTGATTTGTACAGCTTTTGGCTTCCATGGTCATTGGATAGGTCATGTAGCACTCAAAATGTCACTAAGATTGTTAATCGGAGTAAAATGTGTACCAAGTACTGAAAGAGGG